TTGTTCACGACCATAGAAGAGGGGCAGAGTCGAACCAGTCACCATGCCAAAATCTGATATTTGAAAGAATTGTCTCGATAGATACATACCTTGACATTTTACCCAAAATTTGACCTTATGATGTATTTATTCAACTCCAGTTTGAATTGTACTGGTCAATTCCGTCTTCCAGTACGACAGCAGACTCGATAACAAGTTTATTTCAAAACAAAGAAGTTTCCATTTCGATCAATATTCTATTTCGATCAAAAGGTAAAAAAAAAACGATTTCTGCAGTGTGTGAAAGAGTTGTGGAAAAGTAATACCGATCCAGATCTTGAGAACGAACTCCTCATGTTGTTCTTGCATGACAAACCCTCGAAATCATTCAGAAGGCCAATATGCACCTCAGTCTAAATCAAAGAAATTATATCTCTGATAATGCCACACTCCTTCAGTACTGACGACCAGGATTGGGCTGTCGGGTAAGACCCTGAAATATACAACATGCATCCTTGGAGTGTGACTTGACGCCTCAAGTTTATGGTTCAGGTGACTGAGATAAAGTTCTTCACGTGAGCTTCCTGGATAGATGACAAACAATGCAAAGGGGTAGAGGGAAATGAAAGTTGGATGGAGGGGTGAGAATATATCATTAACTTCTCACCGTTTAAAGGAAACAATGACAGTGACGGCTGGGCACAGCAGTGGGTTCTTCATCTCCTGTTGGAAATTTTTTTTTGGTCACTGATGAGATGAAGACGATGTTGCAGGAGCTGAGTGCTAGGAACATGTTCGACACCTCTGAAAGGATATAGAGCGGATCATTGAAATCCAGACAACCGAAGCTCAGCCACATACAAAAGGAAATGCCAAATATAGGTGGCTCACAGCATGATGAAGCCAAGAGAGATGGTGAAGAACAGGAGACTTGTCATTTTGCGATTCGATACCTCCGGATCTTTGTGGTTATCATCAACCCAGAACCCTATGCAGGATTGGCTGGCTGCAATGATGTGTCTGACGGTCATGGCATTGAAAAGCAGAATGAGGAGGAACGGGAGAAATGGGGTAAAGATACGGTCCAGCCAGTGGGAAGCCTGCCACGCGGGCGAGGTGTAGAAGACTGACTTGAAAGGCCACGGAACCAAAGAACGCCTTCCAGCATGTAGAAGGGCCGGTAGGTGAATGAGAAAGGAACGTTCTTAATGCAGCTCAGTAGACAAACAATTCCTGTGGCCAGTATCTGGTGTTCCAGCTCTGGCAGTAGATGGTAACTAAACGGTCAATTGTGAAGGCTACCGTCAGCCAGACAGAGCAATCCGGAATTGGAAAGACCAGGACGTTATTGAGCCTGGTCGGAGGAGTGGACATGACACTTTCACGAAAGTAGATGCCACGAATTTGGTTTATAATGACGACAGTGATGTTGACGAGGAAGTCACTCGCTGCTGTCACCACCAAATAATAGGTAATGCACTGACAGAGTCAGTCCCAGGGATCGGATCAAAATAGCCAACAAGTGGTCGTGGAGAGAAAAAGAGGAAAATTATTGACTAGACATTAAGCACCAGATATTTCCTTATCCAAATTTGACTGAAACCCTTCCAATTCCTCCCTTTGCCACTCTTAACACTGCCCCTTCCAAAGCTAAGGTAATTTTTCAGCATCCAATGTTGGATTCAACAATTGTCAGGGAGTCACTGCAATCAGTCTCTGACACAAACTCCACTCTCTGGCAAGTGAGTCAATCCGTGTCCATCTACTGCATACAAGTCTAACATGAACAATTTGTGGCCAGTGCTATATTCATATCAAAACCCATTCAGCAACAGATCCTCTGTATTGCAGACCTGCATTTATTCATAACCTGGCAAGCTCTCGGTTTTAATAATCATTTCCACTGAATTTCCAAATACTTTGATACTCCAAAAATTCCTGTCCTTGATCATTTCGCAGTAATCGTGGATTTTTGCGAATGTATATTTTCTCCATTTTTAAATCCCTTATATTAACTTCTCCATCAGTGGTGGTTATGCCCTTAGCTCTTGAGATCTGATCTCTGCAATTTCGTCCCTTTGTAGCTTAGAGTTTTCTTCTCTCTTTAGGATGTTCCTGTTATCCTAATTCATTGATCAAAATTTGAGTCAAATATCTCCCGCTGTCGTAATTTATCAAATTTCTTGTTAATGCTAGTGTGAAACATATCCACTATATGAACTGCAGTGACTAAAGGCGTAGGTGGAAAACCTTGCCGTCATAAGTGAAATCTAGAAATAAGCAATAAACTGCAACATTCTCTGAGACATATGGGCATATGAGTTAGGAGCAGAAGTGGACCATTTGGCCCTTTAATCCTACGCCACCGTTTAGTTAGATAATAGCTAATCAATGTTGAATTTCAAATTCCTCATGTCTGTCTTTCTCCAATAGCCTTCGATTCCCTTGTCTAGTGAGAATCTATCTGCCTCTGCCTTCAAAATATTCAATAGCCCGTCTTCACGTATTTCCAAGGCAGACTTTCCAAATTCACACAAATATCTGAGAGCGAGAAAAAAAAACAAAAAAACTCCACTTTGTCCTCAAAGGACGACCCAGAATTTGCAAAGGGTGTTCTATAGTTATGTGTTCATAAAGAAGTGCAATTATAGTTAACAAGTACAACTTGTCGAAGATATTCGGGATTTTAGACACTTCAATCACATCACCCCTTATTCTTCTGCACGTTAGAGGCCGATATCTCTCACCAATGAATAAGAAATACAATTATACAAACTGTACAAAACATATGAACAGAAAAGAAAATGCAATACAGCTTTAGTGTTTTATATATCCATTCGAATCTTTGAAACTGTTCTGCAATTAATTCCCAATGCCATGTTAATAATGGGGAATATTCAGTGGAAGCAAACTATATTGTAACGATCACAACATACATTCCTGTAATGGCTGAATATGTCTTTTGTGCCACAATGAATTCAAGAGACCCGTTGGACTGTAAAAAATAATTCTTCAGTAGTATCATAAGATCAGTGCAAGAAATATGCTATAATAAAGGATCATAAACTGTAATTCCACCCAATACTGAATGAAGCAGGTGGTATTTTACTGCATTAAATGAGAACTCAAATTTTAACAATACATGAACACAATTACGGCAATACCACACATATTAATTCATAAATTCATACTAAAAGATATAATTGCACAGCATAATAAACCGAAGATTACCTTGCAACGCTACAAAATGATTTACGAAACAATGTTCTGTAATTTATTGTTACGAAGTGTAATATCATATAATGTTCACATGTAAACTTGAGTTGGAATTCCGCTATAACCAGACACCGCTGAATATCTAAAAACTATCAACACAATCCCGAAAGGGAAGCGTCTTATATCCTGGGAGAGTTACAAAAGGCGCTGGGAACAATGACTTACCAGGGATATCAACAGCAGGGAGAATAAGATAGAAAATTGCAAAGAAGGAAGAAATGGCTGGTTCGTGCATCCTCTTCCAAAATCTAAAGGAACTCAAGATGTTGTACTCCTTCACTCTTGGGACGCATTCAGACTTCATTTATCCTGGGTGAGTGTCTCAAGATGGAGAATTGAGTTACAACATATACAGCAGTTATAGTTTATTTCAGGATTTCCTGTTTTGTTTTTGTAACGTGGACACGGTGGATAATTACATTATACTTTTGTGTGAGGTGCTATCTGAAAATTCTGGCACAAAAATTTGCTGTCACCTCGGAAACCCCACCCCAGCACACTCCGTCACCTCTTCAACACACCCATCACCAACACCACCAATAAACCAAGTTTTTGACTTTCCATCAAGTGGAGTCTCTGATGTTTCTTGCTGAGTAGAGTTCATATCTCTTGGGTAAACTAATCTTTTCTCATCTCTGTGACTTTACAATTTTTTTTCGTCCTAAGTGTCAGGTCAACTATTATGTTTGGTGTGTTGGTAAGTGTTTTAGTGCTCGTTGTTTCAATATTAGCTAAATATTTCAAATGGTTTAAGGACGAGATGTTTGAAATCACTGGGCCATTATATGGGATATGAGATGCAGACCATCACATGTAACTTCTGTGCCATGTGGAAAATATAAAATTCTGTTCCACTAAACTTCAAACGTCACAGAGGCTTTCAAATGTTCGAACAGTGGGTCAGATTTTCTGATGAAGTAAACGTTGACAATTGGCCTGGGATAATAGAAACAGATGAAGAGATGACTGAAACATGGCTTTGAGCTGTGGCGTCAAGTGCACTGGTAGAGCATACACAATCGACATAGTGTAGAATGATACAGAGGCTGCTGGGACATGGTCAGACAGACCAGACTGCAATCTCACGGGGTCTAATACTTGCCAATACCTTTTCTCGAATGGCATGTTGCCACAATGGTGGGAGAGTCAGATACACCTCAGCAGTTGGAAAGCATTCTGAAGGGGGAAGGTGAACAGCCAGAAGTCGTGGTACATGCTGGTAAAAATGATATGAATAAAAACTGAGATCCTGCAATAGATATTTAGACAGTTAAGTAGATAAAGTGGAGGATTGCTAAGATTTTAATATTCTCATTACTTCAAGTGCCACATGCTACGGAGTATAGAAATAGGAAGAGATGTCAGATGAATTCGTGGCTAAAGTGATGGTTAGGAGGAAGGATTTTGGATTTTTGGATCATTGAGAAAATTTCTGGGGGAGGTGAGGCATGTAAAAATTTTCCGGGTTACAACTGAACCAGTATAATATTTTTGCTAGGAGATTTGTCATGTTATTGGAGAGGGTTTAAAATAATTTGACAGTGTATGGAGCACAAAGTAGATGTAAAGTCGGGAGCAGGATTCAGTCTTATGTAGAAGGAATGCTAATAATGACTCCTTAACTCTTGATTTTCAAATGTAATAAGATCTGGTCAGTATCCAAGCTTGTGCTGACAAGTGGCAAGTAACATTCAGACCACACGGATTCCAGGCAATGATTATCTCCAGACAAACAACGAAAACACCTAACCACCGCTCTCGACTTTCGATGGTGTTACCATGACTGGATCAACGATAGTTAACATGCTGGCGGTTGCCATTGACCAGAAACTCACCTGGACTTGCCATAAAACTTCAGTAACTACAAGACCAGGTTAGAGACTGCGACGTGTAACTCACCTTCTGACTCCACAAAGGCTGTCCACCATCTATAAGGGGAAAATAAGAAGAATAATCAAATACTCTCCACTTACATGGATGGGTGCAGGTCCAGAATCACCCAAAAAGTTTGACACCATTTAGGACAAGCAGTCCACTTGAATGGCCCTACATCCACAATGATCCACTCCCTCGGCCAACCTGGACGCTCAGTAGCAGCAGTGCGTATATGTACAAGATAGACTGTAGAAATTCAGCAAAAATTCTTAGGCATCTCCTTCAAGTCCACAACCACTTCCACCTAGAAAAGCAAGGGCAGCAGAATCATGGGAACACCACCACCTGCTTATTCCGCTTCAAGACACTCACCACCCTGGCATGGAATTATATCGCTGTCCCTTCACCGTGGCTGTGTCAAAAACTGGAATTCCTTCATTCAGGGCTTTATGGATCTGCCTGTAGCACATGGACTGCAGCCGTTCAAGAAGTCAGTTCAAAACGACCTTTTCAAGGGCAACTTGGATTGGCAACAAATGATGTCCCAGACAGCGATGCCCACGTCCCTCGAGTGAATAGCAAAACAAAGAGAAACTAATGTGGATGTTTAAGGGCAATGACAATAATGGTTAAATATTCCCAGCTCTCGAGCTTTGATAAAAATAGGAGGATAGGGCGAGCACAATGATTACACGGGACTAACGAAACATGAACAATGGTAAAATTTCATGGATAATTGCATCAAATAGTTGATTTTCTCCATTTTGGTCGTCAGGTATTCTGCAGCATTTGGTCGGATCCTGTCACGTGATTTAAACAAACGAAGTGTTGCTCGCTAAGAAACAATTCAGACAGAATGAAAAGGTTTCACATGCAATTTTTAAACCAAGTCACAGAACAAATAAGCTGCAGAAGTTCAAATAGGCAGGTCAACACAATCCCATCAAGAGAAACGAACGGTGGCCAATAAATGCTTGCCCAGTCAGTTAGGCCCACATCCCGTGAATTAATAATGATTATAAAAACGTATCAAACATCCATTGTTCTTCTGGGTAACACTTCATTCTCGGTCACTGCAGTTCTGAACTTTGTACAATAAGGATGTAGAAATCCATCATGACTCAAAGGAATCAACATCAAAGGAATAACTGCCTTCTGTCACAGGAAAACTGCAGGAAAAATTGACTAACGTGACGGTGAGAATTTATTCTTTATGTATTTCGTTCTTATTGTGTCCAGGGACTGACGATATCATTCAGCCATGGCAACCCCTTCAGGTCACGCGTCAAACCGACATTCCACTAGCCCATTCGGGAAGAAGTGAAATAGTTCACTGCCCTATGAGAACAGCGGGGGAGGGGAATCCTAATGGTGTCCTGGGGCAAGCTTTCAAACTGAACGAACCCCATGCATTGTGCAGGAACAAACGGGAACAGTTTATTGAGTTGGATGATTATAATTAATGGTGTGGAATGGTGGAATGACCGAGTGGCCTACTCCTGCTCCCGCTTTCTATGCTGGACTAATTCCCCTCCAGCAGTCGTGGCTCATCACCTCTCATTTAGCCGATTTCATAAATTAAAACCATGCTTTAATTTCACACCTCTGTTTTGTTTTCCGCCTATTTATCCCAGGTTGTTCAGATTTTGTTTTGAAACCCCATATTGTGACATCATGTCCTCTGGTGACAGCATGCAACCTACTGTCAGTGTTTTGTCAATTTTTAATCTGTATAAAGTGGCTAGGGTAAGTTTCAGCAAGTTGAAGTGCCAACAGTCTTAGCAGGATAGATTACAGAGAATTCCAAGATATTCTGCAAGCACACAAAGTGGGAGAGAATAACCAGGGAAAGAGTAGAGCCGATTGGGAGTCAAGAGTGAAATCTGTGCATCGAACCTGAGGACATTCGGGGAATGTGAAACCAATATTTCATGAATGTTTTCACTCAGGAAAATGAGGGTGTACGTCCAGAAATCAGGAAGGTAGGCTGAAGTTCTTGAACAGATTGATATGAAAAGTGGTGAATGTTTTGGAGGTTTTGGTGGGTTTAAGAATGGATGCACCTTTAGGTGAAGAAGTTATGTTCGAGCGTGCTGTGGGAGACGAGGGAGGCAATGATAGGTTTTCGCTCAAATGGTTAATTTCTGCCTGGCCGGAGGGGAGGCGGCAGAGGGCTGAAAGGCAGCTGATGTCGTCCACTTTTCAAGAAGATTCATAAGAATAAACCAGGAAATCACAGATTAATGAATTTCATATCGATGGTAGGGAAACTACTGGAAAAAATTCTGGAGGAGAGAATCTTCATGAAGTAAGGCAGATTTTGATTAGGGAAATATCATCATGACTTTGTCAGACAAAGGTCATGCCAAATAAATCTGATTGAACCATTTCATGAGTTGACTAAGTGTATAGATGAGGTTCGTGTCGTTGATGGATTTCAGTAAAGCTTTTGACAAGATGACATGTGGGCGATGGATAAAGAAGCTAATAGTACATAATATCCAGGGTAACTTGGTAAGATGGATCCAAAATTGGCTCAGAGGTAGAAAACAGAAATTGGTGGTAGAAGGTTGTTTGTGCGACTCGAGGCCTGTGTTCAGAGGCAGGGATAAGTGCTGAGATGCATCATTGTTCAATATATGCATATGCAAATCATGCAGATGAGAATTTGTGGTGTGGTGTTGGGACGTGAATGTTAAATATGCATGTGAATGACGCAATTATTGGCCACACGGTTGATCATGCCAATGAAGGTGTCAGCTTTGAGGAAGAAACAAACGGTTTTGTCGGATAGGCAGATCAGTCGGGGGTGGAATTTGATCCTGATAAGTGTGAGGTGATTCACTTTGAAAGGAGTGAAAAGATGAACATGTATTCAATGAATGGCAGGACAGAAGGAAGCTCAGAGGAACAAAGGATCTTGAGGTGATTGTCCACAAATCCCTGGAAGGTGGTAACATGGGTTAACATAGTTGTTGAGAAGGTATGTGGAACACTTGCCTTTATCAGGCATAGCATGGATAAAAGAGCAGGGAGATTATCATGGAGCAGTCCAAAACATTGGTTAGGCCACAGCTAGAGTATTGTGTGCAGTTCTGATCTCCACAGCACAGGAACAAAGTGATTGAACTGGAGGGGTTTCAAATGTTTAAAAGATAATGAGCGGCGTGGACATATTGAAGGAAATGAAGCCGTTGGCTTTAGTTTACGGTGAAATAACAAGGGAGCATAATTTTAAAGTGAAATCAGGATATTAAGTGGGGTTTCTGAGGAATACAAATTTCACACAGAGGCTGATGCATTTCCTGGCGACATATTTCAGGCAGAAGGCTTCCTTTACAAAGAATTCAGATGAGCGTTTGAAGTATCATAACATTGAAGCTTTTATGCCTCGTGCTGCAAAGTAGGGCCTGTGCGCATTTAGCGTAGCTTTGGATTTGCAACTTGATGGACGAAAGGGTCTCTTCTGTACTCTATGATTCTGTAATTCTTTTTATTGGAGCTGATATGAACATCTGTGCATAAGGGCCAATGACATCATCTGTGCTGACCTCGAACGGAAGCGTCAGTTTAACCACAAGTTGGAATCGGTAATCAACTTTCCAGACAAGTTTATTCTGTGATAACAAAGTGTAGAGCTGGATGAACGCAGCAAGCAGCAGCATCAGAGGAGCAGGAAAGCTAACGTTTCCGGTCTGGACCCTCCTTCAGAAAGAAGGACCCTTCCTGCTCCTCTGATGCCGCTTGGTCTGCTGTGTTCATCCAGCTCGACACATTGTTATCTCAGATTCTCCAGCATCGGAAGTTCCTACTATCTCTGAAGTTTATTCTGTGGTTTGTTTTCTAGAAAGCTTCTGGAAACAATTTTGCGAAAGTTTGATTCGGGGTTACTTTGGTTTCCTTTCAGCCATATCATTCACCACACGACAGTGCATGTCACTTTGTGGTTGCATTTACTTCCGCAATTCCTCACACATTACACAAACTCGAACAGAATGAAGCTCCAAAAGTACACAGCAGTTTTTGTACTGGGCTGAGACTGCTTTCTGTCACTGTGAGACTGGACGCACTGTAATACACGGCTGCGTCAGTCAGCTGCAGCCTCGAAATGATTAAACTGGTGAGTTTTGACCCAGTTTTGAGTTCTGCAGAGAAACGGTCTCCAAAAGCATCTCCTTTCCTTTGGTCTGCATTCGAAGACCATCTCCACACAATAAACTGGAGCTGTTTATTTGGTTGTTGCCGGTACCAATATAAATAGTAGGACTCTTCTGTCGTACTATATGTACATCTTATAGTCACCGTTTCGTACTCTGCCTTGCTTTCTGAAGACTGGGGCTGAGTGACGGAATTACCATCACTCAGATCTGTAACGTGCCCAAAAAGAAGAAAAGAAAACATTAAAATCTGTCACTGGAACAATAATGCATATTTAGTTTGACTGCATAATAATTAAACTCTTCCTTACCGAGAATGAACATCCCGACCAGAACCCAAGCGCCGAATACCCGCATGGCTGCTGCCAAGTGACACTCTGTCAGTTCCTTTAAAAGCCGAACTCGGACAGGAAGACATCCCATCAGAGACTCCAATTGGCTCATTGTCACTTCCTCGAGTAATGGTTCACTTCCAATCGGGTAATTTTAGTTTGCACCCGAATATTACAGTGAAATTTGCGTGAGTTCCTTTGCCTCACTGTGTATACTCTACGATTGTGGAGATTTCAGACTATGAGTCTCTTTTAATCATCTCTAAAAATCAAAGCAGCATCACGAATCTTTCGAGAAATTTCATGCAATAATTCCATGGCAATGGACGTCGGAAATAGAACGGGGATTGGAGAACTTTGTAGGAATGTCTCTATACCACAAAACTGTGCTGTGGAAAATTACTACGGTGAGGCAGGATTTCATCCCCTATTCCCAATTCCTTCGCCTCCGCCGTATCTGCTCCCAGGATGAGGCATTACAGTCCCGAACATCTCAGATGTCCTGGTTTTTCAAGGACCGCAACTTCCCCACCCGCAGTGGTCGAGAATACCCTCGACCATGTCTCCCACATTTCCCGCAACTCATCCCTCACACCTCCTCCCCGCAATAACAACCAAAACAGAATCCTCGCCGTCCTCACGTACCACACCACTCACCTCCGAATCCAACACACATCCTCCGACGCTTCCACCATCTCCAGTTCGACTCCACCACCAAAGACATTTTTCCCTCTCCACCCTTATCTGCTTTCCGGAGGGACCACTTTCTCCATGACTTCCTTGTCCGCTCCACACCCGGTACTTTTCCCTGAAACCGCAGGAAGTGCTACACCTGCCCCGACACCTCCCTCCTCACCCCCATCCCAGACCCCAAGAAGACCTTCCACATCAAGCAGATGTTCACCCGCACATCTGCTACCGTGGTATAATGTATCCGCTGTTCCAGATGTGGCCTCCTCTACATCGGGGAAACCAAACAGTGGTATCGTTTTCCTCCAACCCCGTCTTCAGCAACAAGTGCAAGGGACTCAAGCTGTTTCTTTGTCAATAAGATTGAGACAACCCAACCAACTGCCTCTGTTGCTTCCTTTCCACTAGCTCATCAGGTCAAACTGACTTCAAAGTTCCTCCTTGATTGAGCCCCAAGTAGGATCTTTCTTCGTTTTCTCTCAGAGTTTCCCTCATGAATTCTGAGCTCATCGTGTTGAAGTACCGCGTGCACTATAAACATTGTTCCAAATGAATTTATAAGGAATCCCAGATAACAAGGTGTCGAGCTGGATGAACACAGAAATTCTGAAGAATGGTCTAAGCCCGAAACGTCAGCCTTCCTGCTCCTCTGATGCTGCTTGGCCTGCTGTGTTCATCCAGCTCTGGACCTTGTTATCTCAGATTCTCCAGCATCTGCAGTTCCCACTATCTCTGAAACAATTTTAACCCCACTGCGGAGCCTCTTCTAAGGATGCCTACCCTGAAGCAGTTACCCTCCTCCCTCCGGAAAAAACCTCAGTGGATCTCTCTCCCACTGCAACTCTCTCGTAATCTCTTCAGCCTTGAAACTGCTCGACCACGTCCTGAAGCAAACCAGGTACTACAGCCACATCACCTTTCTTATTACCTGCCTACGGAACCAAATCATCCCCAATGGACTACAGTCCACATTCAGGCCTTCCCAATTTTGCCCCAATCGGAACAATATCTACATTCAGAACATTGAGATCCTTCAGAAGTGTTTCTCCCTGCGACTACTGAAACACACACTGGCAGCAATGCGCTGGCATCTCCTGGCACTACAGTCAAGCCTACCCCAGCTCAGAGCCTCCCTCTCCCAGACCTGCAAAGGACCTCTCCTGTTTTTTATTCTTCGTAGGATCCACAGCCCGAACTCACAATTCTACTCAGCTTTATTGGACACTAAAAACCATAAGTACAGTAAACCTACTGGCGCCTACCACCCAAAACGGGCTTCCTCCACCTCCCAAATCCCCAACCCTACCCAGGACCTTCCCCACAATGTGCCCGCCGCCATTGGCCATGTGGCCACTGTCGGAGCACCCACGGATGACGTCACATCCTCCGCCGCCGGCTACACCACTTCCGGAACAGCGAACGCCATCGACACTGCTGCTGATGCCACCACCTCCATTTGCGAGGCCAACACCATAGACACTGAGGACGCACCTACCGTCACCGCTGCTTCCGCCGCCGACGCATCTTTGCCCACCATCGCCGATGCAACTCTGCCCACAGCCGACGCCGCACGGCCCACCACCGATGCCAACGTCACTCCACCCATCACCTCCACAGCCAGCAGCTCCAGAGGAGACAGCAGCACCCAGCCCTGTCGGGTCTTCACCAAACCCCAGACCTCCCCCTTACTGAGAGGTAACGGTCAGTCCTCAGTAAAGGGCTCACCTTTGTCCCCCTCCACCCACACATCAACGAATACCAGTCACGTTTGGACATTGAGCAGTTTTTCTACCGCCTCCGCCTCCGCGATTACTTCTTCAACCATGAGCCTAACGCTTCCTCTACTGACCCCTTCTCCCGCCTCCAGCACACACCCTCCTCCTGGACACCACCCCAAGGCCTCCTACCCTCCCTTGACGTCTTCATCTCCAACTGCTGTCGAGACATCAATCGCCTCAAATTCTCTACCCCCTCACCCTCTCCAACCTCTCCGTCCGCTCTCTCCGCTGCAATCCCAGCCTCACCATAAAACCCGCGGACAAGGGAGGCGCAGTTGTAGTATGGTGCACTGACATCTAAATCGCTGAAGCGAGGCGGCAACTCTCTGACACCTCCTCCTACCGTGCCCTTGATCATTACCCCACCTCCGACCACCAAACCACCATCTCCCAAACCATCCACAACCTGATCACCTCAGGTCACCTCCCACCCACAGCCTCCAACCTCATCATTCCCCAACCCCGCACCGCCCGCTTCTATCTCCTTCCCAAAATCTACAAACCTGACTTCCCAGCATTTCTGAAGAAGGGTGTAGGCCCGAAACGTCAGCCTCCCTGCTCCTCTGATGCTGCTTGGCCTGCTGTGTTCATCCAGCTCTACACTCTGTTATCTCAGATTCTCCAGCATCTGCAGTTCCTGCTATCTCTTATAAGGAATCCTTTTCCCTGTGGCATAAATGGTGCTCTGTTCAGATACTGCCGTTCTCTCCTCTAAATCTGCCATCAACCCAGCCAAAGTAAAACAGTAAAAGTGCTTTTGGCTCTTGCTTGTCTCCAACTCCCTCTCTTTCATATAAAGAAAAATTGTCGCCTCTATAATCTGTGCCCATCATTCCCAGGAGAGTCATATGGCATGGGCATTGATCCCTTGGTCCAACTCGTTCATGGTGATCAAGTTTCCGAAACTAACATAGTCCATTTGCCGACGTTTGGCCCTAATCCCTACTATGCATTTCCCACTCACACACCTGTCCAAATGACTTTTAAATGTTGTAACTCTACCTGCATCCACCACTTCCTCTGGCAGTTCATTCCACATCAGAACCACTGTTTGTATAAAAAAGTATCCCCTCAGGTCCCTTTTAAATCTTTTTCCTTTCACCTTAAACTTATACTTCACGTTCGTTAAAAGACCTTTGCTATTCACCTTATCTATGCACCTCATGATTGTATAAACCTATAAAAAGTGCACTCGTCCTCCCACATTCCAGTGGAAAGAGTCCCAGCTTATTCAACCTCTCCTCATAACTCAAGTCATCCATTCCATCAACAGCCTGTTAAATCTTTTCTTAACGCACTCCAATTTAATAATATCCTTCCTACAGAAGGGTAAGAAACGTAAATAGTACTCCAAAAGTGGCCTCACCAACGCCCTGTACAACATTCATATGACATTCCAACTCCCATACTCAATCGTCTGAACAATGAAAGCAAGCGTGCTGAACGCCTTCTTATCCAGCCTGTCGATTCACTATGCAACTTTGAAAGCACTATGGGCATGAACCCCAACATTTCCTTGTTCTAAAACACTATCCAGGGCCTTACCATTAACTGTGTAAATCCTGCTCTTGTTTGTTTTACCAAAATTTCAGATTGATGAAATAGTGCAACACCATAATTTTTGCAATGAAATCATGCCAAAATCTCAGCCTTGTGCATGAATGAAATGATGGATTCTGATAGTACAGTTGTGTTACAGAGAATCTGGCTTAACCTGACAAACGAAATGCATCGAAGTGCTTCGCACCCCAAAAATTCAGGGATCAATACTATTGATTTATACTTTCCTGCCAAGGTGGAAAGTTCACTTTTTCCCATATTACACTCCAACTGCCCAAATTGTGTTCGCTCATTCAGCATTATCTAGATCCCATTTGAGATTCACCGTCTTGCCAGTGTTCTTTCCCATATGCCTTTGAATCATCAACAAATTTAACAAACTTCCATTTAGTCGTTCATATAGATTATAAAGAGTGGAAGCATCAGCACTGGTCACAGGAGGACTTCCCTAGTTGCAGCTACCAATCAGAAAAGTGGTCCACTGCTTCTGTTAGCTATGAAATCCCCGATACATGAGGTTACCCTGAAGAAACTGAACCCATATTTTCTGCGGTGACCGTTCATCTGGAACTTTTCTCGTTTCGCTTTTGAAAGTCAAGTATACACATTCATAGTTTTCCCTCTATTCACTTCATGTCATACATTTTCAGGACATTAATGTATCAGTCAAAATCACTTCCCTTTTACAAATTCATTTTGACTCTATCTGACTGTATCATGATTTTCCAACTGTCCTGCTTGGATGCAAGCTTGTCTGCTGTCTTCTCTGGTGGACTAGTGGTTATGATTCAGCGCTTTCACCGCTGCCAAACAAGTTCTATTGATCGTCAGGAGAGGAAAGTGTATTGCCCTTATATCAACTGTTAAAAGTTAACTTGCGTTGCAATTTCATACAGCACGCAAAAGTTAAAAAATGCTTTGGTCCAATCAGCCCATGCTTCCCAAACTAAACTCGTCCCGCCATCCACTTCTTGGCTCCAAACATTAAGTAATCATG